GGTGATGGCTTTATGATATGAGCAGGAGACTCGTGGCAAGAACTGCTTATCAGCCACTTCTCTGCATCATCCCACTTGGATGGAAAGCTCTTTTTTGCAAGATTGCCAACACTGAAGCTAAATACTGGCCTACCAGGAGTAGGAGGAGCTTCTACTCTTCTCTGTGTAACTGAGTTCACTCCCTCTGTTCTCCTTGGAACTGAAACTTCAAGAAATCCTCTGCAATCGGCGCTGCTATTTGCCATTGGAAATGATTTGACAAACTCAGATGTCTCCTTGAGATTGAGCTTGCACAGTGGGTCTTGAAAGGAGTCTGCAAATGGATTTTCCTTAACCTTCACATAGAAGCTTGTGTTGGTCTTGGCCTCCAATGCTGGTTCCTAAAATCACAAACACACCCCCACAACACAACAAGCCAACATGTTATCGGTACCGAAAATCTCAAAACCCAAATGAGACATAGAAAGACAATAAGAGAAGAAAAACAAATTATGTGAATTCTCATACCCCATTTGGAACAAAAACAGGAGAAGGTTGAAAGTATTTTGGAGCAGTGAGATCCATGGTTGTGAGGAGGGTCACTGCAATGTTCTCGATTTAAAACAACTAGAGGAATCTTCTGGACTAGTCTCTGGTGAAGTTTATACCTTAGGTCTAGTAGTCCCTAGTGAGAGGTTTGGTTTCAGGCATGTGCCTCATTTTGATGTAAAACACAAGTGATGAGAGAAAGAGAGGAAGCAGTTGAACAGTGAAGCTGAAGAGGGAAACAGCATTGACCACCGAGAATCATGGTCTAAAAAGGGATACTGTTACACTCAATATTGACCCCACATGTGATATAACAACTTAGACAGTAACGCTACAGTGTTCTTTCTGGAAAAAAAAACAAAAGAAAAGGAGACCACCAGTATACATCACAGTTACATTACATGCATGCATAGTTCAAAGTTCAAACACTATATAATCTGAGGAAGGAGACGAAATAGTACTTCATGAAAAGAAGTGTTGGAGGGGCTTCGAGGGGTGCAAAACAATTTGCTGTTCATCTTTTTGGATTTGTCCATTTTTTTATCCCTCTGTTAGTGTGTAACAGAGTCTCACCTGTTCCACGACAGGAAAAAGCTTTAAAGATAACCTTTTCCTTTCCATTCTTTCCGTGAACCTGGAAATGGGTTTCACCAACGAGGGCTAAACCCAATCCATACAAGGATGGCCCAGGAACAGAAATCAAGCTCTAATGAGATATGAAACGGGCCCTAGTAATTGATTATTCTGATATTCTTGAAAAGTTCTCTTCTGGTAGAATTCTTTCAGTTCATCACACATAGTAGAATCGGTTTAAGGCTCTTCTGGACCCCAATACATGGAGTTGGAGGAGCAGGCCATGTATGTTTGTGTGCTGGCAAGTGGTCTCCTAGCTGCAAGGTCGAGGCTTAAGGACACACATATTCCACTCATCATGCATCATGAACGATCTTATTCACGCACAACTGTGGGTCAATAATTGAATATAGTTAAAGCTCAGGGTACCAGATGTTCTTGCAATAAAAAATACAAATAAGATTTTAGATTTGGTAAATTATGGGCAAAGCTTATAAATGTGTTTCGGTAGAAATAGTAAAGAGAGGGGAGAGACAGAGAAGGGATGGGGAAAATTTTGAAGTATACAGATGCTGTGTTTACTGCATCGCGACACAATGCAGATTGCAGTGCAAACTTCAAAAAAAAAAAAAAAGTTCAATTTGTTGTCTAAACCTTTTATGTTTCTTTTTATCCTTTTTAGTCTTATTTCAATTCTAAAACTTTGTTTTTTTCATATTTAAATCCATGAATTATTGAAAAGATTTTAATTTAGTTCTTGAAGTTTATGTAAAAGTTCAATTTAGTTTCTGAAGTTTTGTATTTTGACATTTTTATCCCTTCAGTTTTAAGTGTCTGCGTTTTGATCCTCCAATTTCATTTTTAATTTGGTTCCTGAGGTACTGTAAAAAAATCAGTTTAATTATTTTTTTAGTTTTATATTATTTTTATTTATATATTTTTAGGTATTTATGTTTCAGTATAAGAATTCATTTCTATTCAAGTAATTAAAATTTTGAAGAAAAGACGTATATCTTTGGTCAAAATTATCATTTCTCATTTCTGTATTTTTTTTTTGCATTTTTTATTGTATCATATTCTTTTTATTAACAATATAATTTCTGTACCTCCAAAACCAAGGTTTCATCTTGTTTTTTATATAAAAAAATCTTGAAAACCTTCAATAACTCCATTTCTAATATAAAAACACCTTCTAATCAATATAAAAAAAATAAAAAAATTTATAAACACCTATCTATTTTTTATTTTTAATAAAATCATGTTGGTAATGAAAAAAATATCTTTCATAAAAAAACATGAAAAAAAAACATAAATAGGAATTAATTGACGTGGTGGGTAGTTGCCTAAATGGTTAATATTTTTCCATGAATATTGAAAAGATGTTAATTTAGTAGTTTATGTAAAAGTTTAATTTAGTATCTAATTTTTTTTATCTTAACATTTTTATCCCTTTAGTTTTAAGTGTCTATTCTTTTGATCCCATAACTTCATTTTTAATTTGGTTCTAATTGCCTGTAAAAAAGTCCAATTTAACCCCCTTTTTTAGTTTAATTTTTTTATATACATGTAGTAGTTTTAGGTATTTATTAATATATTAATTATGTTCGAATATCAATTTATTTTTAAATTTAAAAAAATATTTTAAATGACTTGAATGAGACACAGTTATAATAAATGTAAAAAAATTAGGTATAGTAATTATACTACACCAAATAACTTGGATGAAAAACCTTGTTAACCCAAACATGTAGCATCTAGAAGCCATGCTGATAAAGAACAATTATACATTTTAATTGTTAAAAAAAAATAAAAATAAAAATAAAAAATCAAACGTCAAGGATTCGATAATGATGTTGATAAAGAATAATAATCCACTTTAGATGTGTGTGGGAGAGAGAAAAGATCTCTTCGCTGTTAAAAGCATCTATAGCCGTCGCTATACTCTGTTTTCTGAATTACATGCCACAGCCTGCTATGAATGCTGATCACCAGCTTAACTGTTGACTCGAATGAAATTGCCACCTTACAGAGGACATCTGAAACAGATTGATGGAGAATTCTTCCACGAATAGGTACACGGTGCTGCCCCTTTGAAGAAAAGGTCTGATTGATGCTAAGCTCGTGACACGAGAGGATGCTTTACTCTTCCCTCTCAGCAAGCGTTGGAACTCTGAGGAGGCAGCCCCGCACCCCTTCTCGATGACCGGAATATAATTACAATCTTGAACCATCACCATTGTTTAATCTTTAGATTACAAAGAAAGCTCAATAGCGTTTTCTTGTGATTGTGACAGTAAAATTTAATTGTGTATGTTGTATAATTAAAAAGAACATGAGAAGTAATTTTTAAATATTTTCACTTTATTTTTTTTAATTTCTATTTTAAAAGCTGTCACAATTTTCAACATTATATCTGTTAAAAGGGCAAAAACAAATTTTATAGTTAAAATTGTGTAAATGATGTTAAATATAAATTTTAAAAATATTATTTTAATATATTTTTAAATAAAAAAACATTTTAATAACTCGGATAACTAGTGTAAATTTCTTTCCATCCATGTTGCTGTGGTCGCCCCATGTTCAGCCTTGGATAAAAAAAAAACAGAAAAACTACGATCATCGATAAGATGCGCACATACATCGAGCGATACTTACGCATATCTGATGTGAAACGATGAACAGACCCACCAACCAATGGATCAGAAACACGGAAGCATCACCTAACTACAAGACAAGTGAGGGCTCACCAATCTCAGGAACAGGTTTAAGATAAGCATCATGGGACCCATTTGAAAGCTCTGTATTTTACGGCCCCTACAATGCATGCTGACATGACATAACCTAACAATAATTGAATTTTATATCCTTTTAGACCTACAAAAACCTGGCGATCAAAACTACCTTATCATGTTCTTGCAGAGCCAGGCACAGATCCTGAGACAACAAACAAAACTACTCCTCCTTCCTCTTCTTCTAGCATTGATCAATGGCTGTAACATGCTTGTCTTGTCCTCACATCCTGGTTCAAAAATCCGGACCTGTTATAAAACCTGTAAGCAGGATTTTGATGCTTCAACGGAATAGTAGTCATGTTCCACTCAAGAAAGCACCTACTCTTCCGGTCAGATCCTCATTAAAAGCCAAGGTATTAAATATTCGTACACTTGTTTCGTCTCGTCTTCCATGTTTCTTGATCTATATATATATATATATATAAAACTTTCTGTTAAATTTCTAGCTGGTTTTCGAGAATCGAGCCGAGGGCATAGTTTGTTATAGAGATGAAAGCGGGGAGATAATCTGTGAGGGATTCGATGAAGGCCCTCGATTTCACCAACACCTTCGATGTTCATCATACCATCCAAGGTTTGATTGTTCTCAACCAAGTAGCATATTGTAATTTAGTCCTCTATTGTAATATCCGAAATCAATACCTGAAAAAGTTTTGTCAATCTTTGGTTGACTTCAGGGATGCTGAGATCATCAATCTTCTTCAACAAAGATTACTTCAGATTGTCAATGGCGGTGAGTTTAACAACACTGAAAATGATGTTATTGTTGTGCAAGAGGACTGCAATCGGAATGGCTTTAACAAATTCTACTGATCAGTAACTAACTCCTGTAAGTTTAACCAACATTATCTGAAATAAGTCCCAACATAACGGGGAAAAAAAAACCTTTATTTCAATCACAGAATGTAAATGGCGATCATAAAATCACTCATCTGTCTTGAAGCATTTCATTTTTCATTTTTTTCCAGTCTGATCAGCATTTCAACTTTCTCCCCTTCTGCTGCCGCTTTTTTTCTTCATTGAAGTGAATATGCACGCGCACTCACTCCTTTTGTCACAAATAGAGAACAACAATGGCAGCTTTCTAAAACTGATTCTTAATGCTGTTTCAAAGCTAAATGGGTGAAATGGCTGGGCCTATGAAAAATCACCCGCAATCATTTGCAAACGCCATTATATTTTAGCTCGGGTGCAATCACTAAGGAGAGATTTTGACAAAAATGAAGCGCAGGAAACGCACCTTGCAGAACACAGGACATGATTCTTGTGCTAGAAATCAAACAGTTTGAATATTTTCAAATATATTATGCATCAGAGCGTCTACAAAGAGATTTGAATATCCTAGTAACAAGGTGGAAAGATGAAAGTGTGAATCTGCATATCATGTTTGACAAGCAATTACCAGCTGGCTGCAAGTTTTACTCTAATACAAAGCTCGTTTGACCAAGTAACTTTACCCCCAAAGTCAATTTGCAACACATTCATTCGGCACTTGCTTCAGCAAAGTAATCCAAGGTTCATTATGCCACAAAAACGAAAAATGGCATCTTGATTTACAGAGATCAGAATGCCAAACAATGCTAGACAGATGCTACCACCAAATCAACTGTTACATTTTCATCGTGTCCTTTATCTCATCTACTTTACTCTTAGTCCTTGCACAGTACCAGGCTATAGTATGTCCTGCCGAGGGAAAGAAGCAGTTGGGGAAGAGATCCAAAAATGGATATACAGACCGAAAAACAATGATCATGATTTAGGGAATGGATATCAAAATCAGCACTAAAACACAAGACATAATATTCACTTTTGATACATGTACATGTTGCAATGCTGCTTCTTTTTTTCTTTTTTTGTACAAAGATTTCAGGGAAGGACATCCAATATTATACCCTCGACTGAATCTCCTAATTAATAATTATGAGCTTCTCTTCTTAACTTAATAATTATGAGCTTCTCTTCTTAACTAAAGTTACAAAAGTAAATTCTATAGAAAAAAAAATGAAATGAAATATCAAGAATGAGAGAAAAACTGTTGGAGGAATGTTCCAAAAATTCAAGTTTAAATGTGCATGAACGCAGACCCGTAATATCAATCAACTGAAGGCGCACCTTGTGCATGCTCTTCGCCCAAATCAGACTGGGATTTACTAGGAATGATGGAGGGAGGGGACCATTGATCTGGGACCATCAGAAAATAGGTAGTCATCGCTTTCCTAAACCTTTTCTTATATTGCTTCGGAGAAATAACAGTTGGAGATTCATTCTTTGGCCCGCCAAGTATGCCTGAAGTCTTAACCCATGTTTCCAAATGTTTGTCCCATGTATACTGCCTCATGAAATCAATTATCCCAAGAGCCAACTCATGCTTCTCCTCATCAACCCCAACCAATAATGAGTAATCCATTACATCAATAGACTGCATATTTATAACCATGACAAATTAAAAGTCGACAACGAAGACATATTCATCTTCAAGTACTAAATAACCACAGCAACTAGACACTTTTGATGAAAAAATAGTAAAAGGAAATAAAATAAATGGAAAGAAAGAAAGAAACAGATTTAGAACTTACTGCAAGAAAAGAAGTATCATTCCAAACAGCTCTCTCCAGCAGCCGCTTTGACTTGTTTCCCACAAAAATGGGAGAGGTTGGCATTGCTTCAATCAAGTTCTGATCCAGCAGAACCTTGTTGCTCCCACTAGAATCTGAATTATACCGTGACCGGGAAGATCCTTTAAGATCATAAAGGCGGGTCACTTTCCTCCTGTATAGAAGGTTCTCCATAACTAGAACATCCATCTTCGTTTCCTTCCCACCTTTCAGATTCTTCGATGTAACCTTTCAACAAGAAAGAAAAAAACAAAGCAATAAGTTTTCAGGAACTTATTCAATGCCCTGTATGAATTGTTAACACAAAATCTCCTTCATTGGCTGCAAAAGTGACAGGGCTAGCATCCTCAAATTTTTCTTACGACTATTTTCATACAAGACCGCCAATCAGATTGTATAAGCATTTTAATTTTAAAAATAAAGAGCTTTTTAAAAACTTCTAAAGCTCCACTTGCACCAACCAGCTGGCAGAAGCAGAACCTTGGCAGATACTGGTAGCCAGCTGTTCACAAGCTTTTGTGGTCACCCATAAGATTACTTACGTATTTGGCTTAAGGTACAGACAGTCAAACAAAGTTTCAATCTAGGCAAGACGTCAGTCAAACTAAATAACTATGATAATTTTGCCTACTTTTCATTTAAGGTCTCCAAGAATAAGCACCTGGTAAATTCCCAAAATCTTTGCCAGGCATGTTGGACTTCTTGAGCTAATTGAATCAGAGAGATACCTGAAGTAAGCAGGAGCAAATTTTATAAACGACTCCAATTCTGTTTTTGTGACTTGTTTGATGATAAAGCGATCATCTAAGGTTTTTGCAAAGAAGACATTGCTCTTGCCACCTTGAGCTCCCCACTTCTTACAACGACTAAGAGACCTTACAAAATCAAGTTCAGCTGGGCAGCATATCCTCCTCAAGGTTTCAAACCGCTTAGCATAGTAACAAGTCACAGAATATCTTGCCTTACCATCTGGGCCGTCATCTCCAAAAGAAACTCTGACATGCATAGCCTTTGTGTAGGAGAGTGGGTCCAAAATCAAGGAGCTACGTGATCCAGACATGGACAAGATGCTCTCATCTGTATATCCAAAACTTTTATACAAATCAAAGCTTACTTCTTCGAGAGAGTGGAATGATTCAGATAAACTTGAGAAAGAATTGGATTCTCCAGTGTCTTTTATTCTTTCCCCCTCATCAGTTAGTTGGGCATGATATTCTGGTGACACTAAAGCATAAGATATCAGACTCGTGGGTTCATCGTCATACACAGGAATGACCGTGTCGTTCACACCCACAGGCAGAAGTAGCCTAGCCCCACCTTGGAGTTCCAAACTCCTGAAGGATGAAACATAAACAGGATTATACTCACCCAGAGTACCAAGCTTCTCAGAGCTTGTTAAAAAATTCTTGTTCAATGAACGATAGAAATTCAAAAATGGCATTCTTAGCCAGCTCATATAATCTTCCATGTTATCAGGGTCCTTGGCAGACAATGAAGGTGAAGGAGAATAGCATGCTTTGGATCCATCTCGGTCTTTGGCATGGCCCTCCAAATCTACCCCCTCCAATCCCACAGCAGTGGTTGAAGATTCTTCCATAGCTGAATCAGAAAGCCTATTTTTATCATCCTTTAGTGTCCCAACTCCCGGGTGATTCTCACCAGTCCATGCACCATCAAGGGTATCCGATAGATTTGCCATGATAGGAACCTGTCCATCAGAAAGGGTCCTGAAAAAATTTCCACCAGATTCCTTAATGTCAGATAGATTATGGGCAGACATGGTAGTGCAAAGATTAGCATGGCCTTCTTTTCCATGACTGGGGCCTGGACACACATCCATTTCTTGATTAACCTTGTCAGATAGGTTTGTGTTGCTACCAAAGCCTCCTTTCTGGTCAGAGCCTTTAAGCAGCTTGGCATCAACAGAAGGAAAGTCACAGCTACTGAAACCATTTCCTGGCCTGAGTCCCATGTTTTCCTCAACGAGCTTATCACTATTATCCGGCTCCAGCAGTTTCTCCTCATATCCTGAAGTTGAGCTGTTTGAATCATCATGGAAGCTGTTATCTAAACTGGCTGCATAAATCAGACGGTTGTCCCACATGTAAGACTGGAAGAGTAACTGCCTCCGCAGTCTGTTGATCTCAAGAATGTCAATAACAGGTTGCCCATTTTTCACTTTCCTGCTCAAGAGTTTGCGGAGCCACTCCTGAACAGCAATGAGAATGATTTAAACTCCTACGTATTTTTATATAACAAATTCACACAAAAACTTTTAAGAAAGATTTCTGAGAAATCATAGAAGCCACAAGGATGCAACAGATTTGATATTTGTTTCAACTATATGCACTTTTTTAAACAAAAAAAAAATTGATGAAAATAATTGTGAGGAAAAACAGATTTCTAAGGGAACTTTATGGAAGTCAGAAGATGCTTTCCATGGTTACATAGATGTGAACTAAATAAATAAAGCTATGAATACTTCAATTTTTACAAACATTTTGACTAAATGACAGCAGTTTGTTTATAGTCAATTGTTAATTTTCCATGATTGTGGTTCTGTTAATAAACATGACAACATTAACATTCTATGAGTTGAAAGTAAATTTAAGAAAAGTTTTAGGGGGGGTGGGGGTGTTAAAGATGGTTAACATTCAGAAAATAGCAGAATTAGGGAAGATTTTGAACATAATATTACTTTAAAGAGTCCCTATTCACATGCACACAAGTGTTCACTACAGAAATGGCTCACCTATGATGCTTGTGTAACTAAAGACTAGAAAATCAAAAGGTATAGTAAACCTCACCTCAAATTCTGTCATCTCCTTTTGCAACATCAATTCAAGTTCTGCTATCTGGCGTCTCAATTCAGGTAGTTTCATGCCATTGTTAAGTTGCTCAATCTTACATCGTTTCTCTGAGATTTGACTAAGAGCATTGAGTACTTCAGAACGTAGAAGTTCTGCCCGATTGACCACCTGTTATAATCAGACAATGTAATCGCCCATATACAGGTGTAAGATAATGAAAAGTCCAAAATGGGGATCACTGCACCTCATCTGTTTCTTTCTGCATCCACTCTTGATTCTCAAAGCTGAAATCAACTCTCGAGGGAGGAAGGTATACAGAGAGAACATTAATTGATGCATATCGAAAGCAGGCAACCATTTTCCCAAAACTGCACATGTAAAGACTGTGAGAGTGAGAGGACTTGTTTATGAAAAGGATTTTTCTCCTGCTATAGATTGTCAAATGGACACACAAGCTTAAAAGTTATATAACTAGAAACATTCAGTAAATATTCGAGAACATTGAAGAAGAGGTGTTTTAGCAGATATAACCCAACATGGTCCTGACTGACATCTTGGTTCCATAATGTTTATAAAACAATTGTCAAGATTAAATCCAGCAGAAATACCATTATTATATATTTTCACAAGATGTAGTGACTGTAGATAATAATGAATTTGTATGATAATTTACAGCATAAAATGATGAAGAGATTAACAAAATTACCCATAGAAACGAAGACAATCCCTGTGAAGAGAATGACCACAGCTTGCCACCCTGCTTGCAGCTGCATGATTTGAAAAACTAAGCTCCAAAAATTTCCCAAAAGATAAACCCCAAGCAGCATCTGACATTACTACTCTCCGAGTAGCTGGAGGAAAACCACTGATACGTGGACACCTCAGACATCTGTGCCACATCCAGATTTTCCCATCCTGTTCACCTGGTAACAGTATTTCAGGTAGCTTCTTAACAGATATAGTAAGGGTTCCTTGCCTGTGAGTATAGCAATGAACATGTGCTTCTGATGGCATCTCACAAGAACGGCAGCTGTAACTCTGCGAGTATAACAGATATAGTAATGACCAAATTTCTAAAAGATATAACAAATTTGGGAAAAAAGATTTTACCTGATCAAATAAATGGTCTCGTAAAAACCGACCCAAAGGTTTGTCAAAGCTTCCATAGTATTTAATGCGGATGAGATGGGACCTCTCACAGACTGTCCCCTTCCACACACACCGGGAAGACAAGGAAACCAAAATGCTCAGATGATCTGAAGGTGATGGAGGAAACTCTTCTTTTAAAGGTTCTGGCTCCTCAAGAGTCCTTCTAGAATCTCGTTGAGCAGATGATACCTCTGAACTGTATGGCTGAGTTGTGATGATTTCATTGAAATCATTCAGGGAAGAGTTCATTGCAACACCATCTGAAGACCCAAAGCCACTGGCAGTAAGATGATCAGCCGCAGCAATTTCAGCAACCAGAGAAGCTGATACAGCTTTCTCAGTATATGGAACGGCAGAAAGAAATTCAGTTGAATTGAAGCGAGATGAAGTGGATTCTGAGGATTGAGAGCTGGGACAATCTGCTGCAGGTACATTGTCAACAGAAGAACCGATGATGGTTGAGACCAGACTTGCAGTAGGGGCGCTATATGATCTTTGTGGTTCATTGCTTGATTGCAACCCTTGAGATTTTTCATTGGCAGCAATAGTGAAACCAGGTACAGTTGATATTGATCTCTCAATGCTTGATGGTTTATCTGGAAGTGCAACGGTTATTGGAGTGTTCAGCGGGAGTTCTGGCAGAGATGCTCCTTCATCAGCAAGAAAAGATGTCTCCAAAGCCAAGTGATATGCTGCAAAAACACCATATTGGACCACGTGTTTCACTTTCTTCAACTCATCCCCATTAGCACCTCTAAGTAAAATCTGAGATAATAGAAATTAAAGAGATAAATACAACTTAGTAGTAGGCCCAGCAATCAAATTGAAAGTAGCCTGCAAAATCAAAGGACTAATATATCAATGGCAGAGCTACTAGCTACACAATTGCATAGGTGCATGCAGCTGGGACCACCAACCATTCCATAGTCCAACCAGGATTATTTCCTGAACAATAACTTAGAAAATGTTTTCAACTTCGTTACAATGTGTAAAATCACCAGAGTAGATAAAGCATCGATTGGCCGAAAACAATGCAATTCAGAAACCTGATCAAGTGTCCATCAAAACTTTTAACCTCGGCAACTTGTTGTAAAATGACTCAAGTTTCAGGGACTTACAGTAAAACCCAATGGCTTTGGGCAGCCTTCAAAATACATTAATGTCTTCACCAGTTTTTTCCCACCATGCCCAGCAGTACCAAGATCTTCCAAAAACCTCTCCACATGGAACTTTTCACAGTACCCCAACTTTGGGGAAGATAGATGATCAATTGAAGGGACTATTTGAGCACCTGTGCAGCGGGCTATACGTTCTAAAAGTGGCCTCTTGATATTAAGAACAAGAGATATGTCTTTAGCAAGAAGGTATTCCTGTGCATGTCGTGATACTGAATTCTCCACTAAAAGGACATCAGGGTTGTGTGCATCTATCTTTGCCACTGCCATCTTCAAATGCTCCATTTCCTAGATAATGAGAGAAAAAAGTTCAAGAAAAAACACATAATTGCTCTGGTAGACTGAGAGCAATAAGGAAGAAACTAAAGCATAAAGGGTTGAGACAAGTGTTTAGAAATCAGAACCTGCTGTAATAGAGTATCAAAACTTGACAGGTGCTTAGAAACTCGCTGGTACTCAAGAGCCCCTCCAAGGATCAATAATCGAGGTTTCTCTATTTTTGAAGTCATTCGACGATGAGCAACATTTTTCTTACAAACAACACCTTTGACCACCATACTAGAAAACAAATCAAAATCAAAGCAGGTAAAAATAAACTTAAAGAAACAGCAACAAGAAGTGTAGCAAAACATAAATTCACTTTTAAAAGCAAATACCTTTCCTGATGGAGTTATACAAACGTAAAATAAGCAAGTTAGCTAACGTTATTTATGATATGGCTTCACAACCTTTCACCTTGATTATCAAAGGAGTGAGAAATCCATGTGGAGTAGTTATCTTTAAAAAAACTGGAACAGGGTGGCCTATCCATGGGAAGTGTAAATCAAGGTAGCGATTACCTCTCACAGCAGCGTCCAGAAGCAATGCATTTTACTTTCACATATCCACCAGGATCCATTCCTCCACCTTTGCTCATATCTGGCTTTAATAAAGTAGCAGCCTCCCATGACAAAGATGTGATGATCTCCAACCAGCTCTCTTTATCATTTTCATCTCCCACAGGAACATTCTCAACCTGTAATAGCTGAGATACCAAAGCCCTAAAATGCCCATCAACCACATTCTTCATGACCTTCTTGTGCTCATCACTTGACCTATCCCTGTTATGAAATTCTCCACTTCTGAAACTTCCAGATGCCCGTAAATATCCCCACTCTCCTGCAGCATCCCTATCGTCGTCGTCATCTTCAAAAAAACCGACTTCCCTCTCATCTTCTTCATCTTCTGGCTCGGGGGGGAGCCAAAGCACTCCACTGTTCTCAAAATCCACAGGTTCAGTGTTACCATCTTCTCCAGTATACATAGAGGATGGTACTTCACATTCATCATCCATCTCCCGTTCATCCCTTTTCCTGAGCTGTGGCATTCGTTCCAAATTCTGTGGACCAAAACTGTGCCTTAATGGAGAACTGCTTAAACTTTTTGGTTCAATAGTTTCTCCATCAAGATGAGCCTTGCAAGATCCACCGTCATTACTTATGTCATCAAACTCAACTTGACAATAGTAATCATTGACTTGAGGAGAATGCCTTGTTTCAGAATCAGATCGATATGCACCATACTCGTCGTCGTCGTCATCACTTCTGGTACTAAAGCAGAACCAAGGATTTAATAATTAATAGCTATGCATTAAAACTAACATCTTCTACATGGCAGAGCTACAAATTCCAAATATTACCATGCTTGTAAGCAGAGACAAATCTAGGACTTAATCTTCTGCCGAGGGGGCTGATTTTGGCATGCTAAACTTTAAACATAAGCAAAAGATCCTTTTATCTTTGAGTGCAAAAGGTTAGTCCTTTTGGCTTGAGGGGCCATTGCGCACACACATATCTCAACAAACCTAGGTTGCTTCCATGGGAGCTAAGGATCGTTTATTACGAGGAGAATAAAGAGTGAATTCTTTTGGTTTGAGAAGCCTTTACATGGTAAACATATGTAAACAAACCTAGACAGCAACGAGTAAAATTGGATGATCAAAAAGGAATTAGCTAATCGCTATATTCTAAAAAAGAACCACTCTCTCTGGCTAATAAATGGCATATCAATTTATTCAACCTCAATGCCTTGAAAAAAAGAATATTAGATCGTTACATTTCTATACATTTCTGATGCATGCACCAAATAATAACTGTATATTTAGTGCTAAAAGAAGACCATCATCATACCTGTTCACCGAAAATGCATATCCGCCTGGAGATCTATATTCTATGTCAGCAACAGGGTCTTTGCACCTAGCCGATTCCACTTCCCCTTGCTTATCAGAACTGTTATCCATTTCTGTTGCTTGAGGAGGGCTGAGACGTGAACTATGCTCAGCTTGCTGATTAGGCCGAACCATGTATGGCAATGAACCACCAGTGATGCTACTACTACTGTTAGCTGTGCCACAAGATCTAGTGCTGATAAAACTTGCTGCAGAAGGTGAACTACTAAGATCTAGGCTGGGAATCTGTATTCCATTATCAAAAGTAGCTAAACCTTGCTGCCATTGCCTGGAACAATAATTACATACCCGAATCTTCTCCAAGTCTTCCTGAACAGTCCTCGGATCACTTGATGGAGCAGGAACTGAGTTGGTTGTACACTTGGCACAGAAAACTCGGCCACAAAGTCGACAATGATGTCTGCGATTAAATACTGTAAATTGAGAATCACACTCGTAGCATACCCTACAACTCTGATCGGGCATCCAAAAATCCCTTGACACGCTAGCAGGCTCAGAGCGCCAAGGGATCCAGGATTTCAAAAGGCAAATTAGCTCAGAAAACGTCTTGCCGGAAGGTTTCATCTAAAACCAATCCTTACTGCCCCGTTCATTATGCTATATTCATTTGCCACTCTTAACCAACTAACAATATCCAAAAATTTTCATCTCGAATCAAGAGATACAAACATCGCAATCAAGAAATCAAAATCTCCACCACTATCTAACACCAATTATTCATTTCATCAGTAAGCAGACAATCACGAAACCCTAATCGATCCAAAATTGAAAGAAACCATCCCACTTCCAATAACCTCAAACATGCACCTTCAACTTCTTTATCACTCCTTGACCCAGAACTGACCTCAACACACCTATGAAAACCTAACCCAGTTCAAGAAACAACTTACCACACACAAAAATACACTAAACTAAAAATACCCAGAAGCTCAAAACAGCGAAAAGTCATGCAACGCGATCTCAACCAGTACAATTCACATAAAAAGCTTCTTCTTTTCAAAACACCCCCACCAGCTTTACAACTAAATGGATCAAATCCAACACCTAAAACAAAAGTAGCACAAATCTGTCTCTAATCTTTCCTTGCAGAGATAGACAGAAGGGAAAAAGGTCTGATTGAATGATACAATACAAGACCGTGAAAAAAAAATACAAACTTTAATTTTATTACCTTGAAAAGACAATTAACAAAACAGCATAAGATCTTGTTCTCCAAGAGATTTACGACACCTAGTCAAATCAATCCGTGACAAGAGGGGTAGGTGCGGATTTGCAATAAAAAAGCCTGGCTGTCTACCTAGATAGGAATTCTCTAAAGAAGCAATCAAATTATTGTATGAAGCTGCTAAATTACCACCGTCATGGTCATCACCATGTATTTCCTCCTCTCCTCTTTCTTGTATATATATAAACAAGCTGCTCCATTTAATGACATGGGGGAAGAAGCATAAAAATGCTAATAAATGAAAAATCTAAGAACACCTGCAATTGGAAATAAATAAATAAATTGACAGAGGACATAGCCACATAGGGTTAATGATGTGCATGTGTGTGTGTATTGTTAATTTGTTATGATAAGGTGATAAAAAAACAAAAGGTTCTATTAGCAAAAAAAAAAAAAAGAAACTGAAAATTGAAAAGTTCAAGAATGCCCTCAAATTTTAGCCAGGAGTGGGCAAGTGTTGGGGAGATGGTGGATATAAGTATTTTTTAAAATATTTAAGATTTATTTTTAAATTAATAGGTTTTTAATATTTTAAAATTATTTTAATATATTAATTTTAAAAATAATTTTTTAAAAATAAAAAATTACTGTTGACATTTTATACCAACTGTGCGTGTCTTTTTCGCTTTTATTTTCTTGTTCCGGACATTTTTGTTCCTTTTTTTTTTTCCTCTCTCTATAGATTTGTTGTTTCCGAAGAACGCGTTTTCTGCTTTTTGCTGACGCGACGCATTGCATGCCTCTTTTATTTTAGCAAGCAACGGATGCACGTAGAATGTTTGTTTTGCTGATGATCATAATAATAATAATAATAATAGTATGCACGTAGAATGTTTGTTTTACTGATGATAATAATAATAATAATAATAATAATAATAATAATAATAATAATAAATTCTCAAATTCGTCAATTAAGCCCTCATGACACCTATCTCCTATCATTTAGGAGACGAGAATCTTGGTCCTTTACTCTTTTGTTTTTTCTTATAGGCAACGACTCTGTTGATGTCTCAACACTCCAATTAAATAATTTTTTTAAAATGATTGTTTAGAATGATTTTTTTTTAATATTTTTTATATTGAAATGTATTAAAATAATATTTTTTTTATTTTTAAAAAATTAATTTTAACATTGATATATTAAAATAATTCAAAAATATTAAAAGTATATTAATTTAAAATAAATAAAAAAATTTAATTTTTTTTAAAAATACTTTTAAAATGTAAAATTTTTTTTTTCAAAAAAGCGCTTATTGAGAAAAAAAGTATTTTTTATATTTATAAACAATTAAAATTTTGTTTTTCAAAAAAGCACTTATTGAGAAAAAAATATTTTTTATATTTATAAACAATTAAAATTCTTTTCTTTAAATAGATATAAGTAAACCCTAAATGTTTCAGTTTTGTTTAATTGAGACCTTATTTTTTCATTTAGTTCCTTTTGGTCATTAATTTTGTAATGTGGCAATTAATTACAATATCTTTGATAGATTACTAAGAGAACATTTCCTTTTCAAACTATGAATCTACAAATAAATCATGATTTCAATCATAATACATCAATTGATTTCTCTCTTAAGAGACTAAAGAAGCAGACTGAACTTGCCTCTTCTTCTACCTCAGAAAGCTCTTCCTCGTCCGCTGTATGCCTCTGTTACCATCGCTGTCGACATCGTCATCCTTTTATTATGAACAATAAATATTCAAGCCATAGAAATGCTTGCGATGATAGCTGCAGTATGAACCAGGAACTCCGGGCTGTGATTTCAGTGCCATCGAAGCAAACAGCGATGGAGGATTCGTGTATTTGTTTCATCATTTATGTTTAAAGATCAGTGATCACAGATTCACGGCTGTGGAGACTTGTTCTACAACGATTCAGGGAGTATATAACGATAAGGGTTTTGGGAAGGAATCTTTGAAGCAAGACTTGCTTAACTGGAGAACCACATCGTCAGAAAAAAATTATATATTTAAATGTCGTTTCAGAAAAATTAACAGATCGTCAATAGGTTTAGTCGCTTGCAATTGAATAAGTTGGTTTCAACTGAACAAATTAAAATAATAGAGACTTAATTGATAGTTTGAGGATAACATGAAGAGGGATTTATAGCCCTCATCTCTTGTTGTTTACACGCATATGAAAATGATTAAATATTAGGCAAAGAGCGTGACCAATATTAAATAAAAATAGATGTTCAGGATTGAAATTAAAAAAATAAATAAATTATTCAAGAAAATAATTCAAATAAAACAAATAATAATTGAGAGAATGAATAACAAATTTAAAAATAAAAAAAATCAAATAACTAAGGATTGAATTGAAAACAAAATTCAATTAAAAATAATCAATTCTAATAAAATAATTACAAATAAGAGAAGAGCAACCAAATCAAAAAAATAAAATTAAAAGGCTAATGTGATATTTTGTATTACCAGCACACAATCCGATAAAAAATGAGAAGGAAAAAAAAAGAAAATAAAAGTAATTTTTGATCCAACAATACTGGACATATATGCGTCATATAAAAAAAAATGCCTAGATGAATAAAATAATATAATAAAAACCTACTTACAATCATTAGAGCTAATTGTATGTGTTACTAGAAAATGATTAACACATATGAGGTACGCATCATCAACTTTTTTATTTTTTTTATACAAAATTGAAAATGTTTTTAAAATTAAATAATAATAACAAATTAATATGATAAAATTATAACCAAACCCTGAAACAAATATTAAAAAATTTAAATGATAAAGGTAATGTAGTAATTATACTATTTTATAAAATATAAAAATATAAAAACACCCATATACATGAGGCATTGTATTATTTTATTAAAATTTTACATTAATAATTTTAATATTTAAAAAACACAATTATTAAAGTAACCAGTAAAATCCTTGAAAAGTATTTGTATCATGATGGAGAGACCACCTTACCAAAGTAAGTGCAAAATATAAAATGATTAATAAATAAAATAATAAACATGTTATTACAATAAATAGTAAAATATCTTGAGGTGAAATAATAAACTATGGGAATTAGGTTTTTTTATTTATAATATTATAGGTAATTTTTCTCTTAAGCTGGAGCTTCTTTTTTTCTTTGTTTTTTGGACGTGAATTGACCATTGCCTCAACTTCTCATATGCTTCCAAACGTTAACAAATACATGAGATGTCATGCAGATGATTATATAATGGCGCGTATAGTTCGTTTCTACATATTTTTTTTTATTTTTTATAAAAACAAATCAATAAAAAATATTTTATAATTAATTTTTAAACTTATTTTATTTATTAAAAATTATTTTGAACTCATAAAATATGATTTTTAAATAGTAATTTGCTAATGATAATTTTTTAATTACTTTAACCACCACATTATTTCTTATCATCATCGTCTCATAATTAATATTAAAAAGTATTTTACATATTTTACTAGAAAAGCATCATATATGCAAAATATTTTTTATAAAACAAACAGAACCTAATAAGGAGAATTACTCATCACATACATGTCACATTATCTAATAAAACTTGATAATGAACCAGCATGATTTTTAAAATGAGTTACAAAGGAACTTAATTGCAAGATCATTTCAACATAGGGACTAAAACAGATTTATAGAAAAATAGGACTGTAAAAACAAAAAACAAAGAGGGACTATTGTGAAGTTTTCAAGAATTAAAGTGTCATTACCACGTCAATAATATTAAATAATATTAAACATAATAGGAGTGGATTAAAATTAAATTATCTTTGGATAATTGGAAGAATACTTTCTTAATCCAAATTCCAAACCTTTTATATAATCTATGACGGGATTTAGTGGGCGTGGAAAGAATCCAAATTGATCTTTTCCTCCCAGAACACGAGAAGAGGAGGGTTGTGCACGGCGTCAGCTTCCCTCCTTGTATGATTTATTAGTTACTGTACTCTAATAACATCTCACCGGAATTATCCCCTCCCATAAAAACTTAAACGACACACAAAAACACGCGCGCATAGATGTGGTGGAGATCGGCGTCTTTCATTCTCGACAAGCAACAGAACGACGCCGTTCCCAAACTACGCAACCCGCCTGACACTCTCACTCCCCCATCTCCACCGCCTCTCTCCATGCCCGACACTCTCCGAAACCCTAACCCTCAAAACAACATCTCCGCTTATTACCAGACACGCGCCGCCCACCACGCTGTCGTCACCAGCGACTGGCTCGCCCAGGCCCAGGCAGCCGTCGGCAGTGATCCAGACGGCGCGCCGGAGACCGCTGTCCCCACAGTCGCTGGAAAGCCGTTTAGTGTGATCGATGAGTTTAATAGCTGGAGGAAGCAGCCTGACTTGGCGGAGGCTGTGGCAGCGATTAGGGCGCTTGCGGCCGTTATTAGGAACTGTCAGGCTACTACTATGATGGAGCTTGAAATTGAGCTTAGAAAGGCCTCTGATTCACTTAAAGTGAGTATGTTTTGTTGCTTTTTACTGGTTTTTTTTTTTTGTGTGCTAATTGTGATGTTGTGATAAAGCTTTGATATTGAAGAACAGCTATGTGCTTAGAATTGGAAATGAAGGTTTTTACTCTTTGTATTTAACAATGATTTTTAATCAACGAAGAGGGAATTTATACATGTGATTTGTTTTTAGTGTTTGCTTGTGATGATTTACACTGGTAGCTGTGTCCAGTTGTGGGACACAACCTCCATATCTTTGACAGCAGGTTGCGATCTGTTCATGCGGTATGTGACCAGAACTTCTGCTTTAGAATACGAGGACTTCAATTCAGCTAAATCTCGGTTGATTGAACGTGCAGAGAAGTTTGGAGAGATATCTTGCAAGGTATTCTAGCTAATTACAGTTTTATGTCGCAATTGTTTTGCTATCGGGTTGTTTCCATATACTGCTATTCATATGAATATTGAGAGTAGAAGGAATTGTTGTTTGATATTGCAGGCGCGCAGGATCATTGCCATGCTTAGTCAAGATTTTATCTTTGATGGTTGCACTATTTTGGTGCATGGTTTCTCCAGAGTTGTGTTGGAAGTTCTGAAAACAGCGGCTCAAAGTAAAAAACTGTTTAGAGTTTTCTGCACAGGTTTTGTTTCTCAACACTCTTGCACCTGCTTAGAGTGTCCCTATCTTACTTAACATCACTTTGAACATTTATTAGCCAAATTTTGTAACTTGCATATTGCATATTTTCTCATCGCCATTTGCTCCGTAAAAAGCATGAGTAGAAACAGAAACAAAAATCTTAATTGAAATGTGCTTTGCCCATCTGTTAAGCATGGTGTTGGGCTCAAGAAAGGAAAATGGTGCCGCTCATTTTCAGCATAATTACCTACTTATTTTGTTTTTAATGTATAGCTGCTCTGTCTTTGGCCTTTAGATTTGAGACCGACCTTTACTGTTATGTGCTTCTATACTGGGCTACCAATTTACTAACTTTTCATACTTGTAAATTGCAGAGGGAAGGCCTGACAGGACAGGCTTACGGTTGTCCAATGAGCTGGCCAAGCTTGATGTTCCTGTGAAACTCCTCATCGACTCTGCTGTGGCATATACTATGGATGAGGTAGACATGGTGTTTGTTGGAGCGGATGGAGTGGTTGAAAGTGGAGGTATAATTAACATGATGGGAACATACCTGATTGCATTGGTTGCCCACAGCATGAATAAGCCTGTTTACGTGGCTGCTGAAAGCTACAAGGTATGCCAATCTGTACCTTTAGGGTTAAATAGGTATTCGTTCAACGCTAACTCTTTGGTAATCAATCAGCTGGAGGCAGCACATATTTTGAACCAGTATTTTATTATCAACAGAAATTTCACATTGGAGTTTGGCCTATGGGTTTGGTTTTCAGATTTCTTATATTTCATAATGACACTCTGTTTTGCAGTTTGCTCGTCTCTATCCATTGGACCAGAAAGACATGGGTCCTGCTTTGCGCCCTATTGATTTCGGGGTTCCTATTCCATCAAAGGTTGAGGTTGAGACATCGGCTTGGGATTATACTCCTCCTCAGTATCTTACTTTGCTCTTCACTGATCTTGGTGTATTGACTCCATCTGTAGTCAGTGATGAGCTCATTCAGCTATACTTGTAGTCGTATAGCTGAATGTAATTTTAGACACAGTGCATATCTTGGATGCGTTTGTATTTTATTTTTGACAATTTTGAATTCAATGCATGAGTATTCAAGTAGAGTCACAGAGGCAAAGTTGTAATTTCCCAAGTTCGATCTTAGGTGAAATTTTGGTGAGGAGGCGAATTAGATGATCAAGAGCAAATGAGATCAAGTCCTTTGCGGGTTGCAACTTCAAGAATTTTCTTGAGCGGATGCAATTGGCAAAAGCCGATGAAGGGTCAATCATCAACTCAACCAAGCCATTGTATCAACGACAACTTTTCTCTTCTTTTCCTTCTTTTATTTAGTTTTTTGTTCTTGCAGTTTCATATCACCTGGTTGGAGAAATTCTTCAAAAAATACACTGCTACAGGATCAAAATAAAGCTGCAGTAGTAAAACACGTAGCTGAACTTTTGGTAAAGAGCAATGAAGCATTTGTTTTCACAATCTGGGGTACGGACCATAGAGGATGGGTTTAGAAGTTTTGGGGTACAACCTAAATCTTCGTTGCTCAGTGGCATTTGAAATTTATCAAAATTAGTTTGGTTTCGTAGAAGAGTTAATGCTACTGCATGCAGTCCAGAATGTCTAGGTAATATCAATGTCCTGTTACTGGGTTGCTACTTGTTAATCACCCGTATGAGCTCCAACGTGTTCTTATTAATGAACAAATTTTTCATGAACACTATCTCTTTTTGCGCACACAACTTTTCCATGCAGACACTATTTTATACGCCATTACCAACATTTCTATCAATGAGTAAGCATGACACATGAATCTACTGTAAATCAAAGTTCATCTATATATATAAGACTAGTAAGAAAAAATATTTAGTTTATCATAACAAAAACATGTTAAACAGAAGATCTTAAACAAAACCCTAGAGTTTATATATTTTTATAACTGTAAGCATGTAAAAGCATAATTAATTGCAAATATATTATCAATACAAAAATAATAATAGAATATTATATATGCTATGTATATATTCAAACTTGTAATTCAAACTTGTAAATGATATAAAAAAAAAAAAATACTAGCACGTATACTAATAATAAAATTAACTAGGCTTATATAAAAATAAAAATGTTACCTGTTGAAGTACTTTAAAGTGATGATTCATTTGTCCTTGAGATTTTATTACTCTTCGTTTATACAATTAAGATATTTACAATATGCCTCACATGATTCTAAAAAAACAACATTGGTTTAAATGTATTTCTAACAAGATCTTTAAATAAATTATCATGTAACTCAAATATCACTTAATAAGATAAACTTAAGCTCTAGATTTGAAAGAAAAACCAAAGCATAAAAGGAGGAAAAAGACACTAAAAACCAAACCAAGGCAAGGAAGAGTGGGTAAAAATCTAAAAAATCCAAGTTGAAAACTCTTCCTCCAAACCCCCCCGTCAAAATTTATAGTGAATTTTGAAAGCTAAAAGTTTAAAGAATTAATTCTCATCATTATCGACCTTTGATTAGCTAACATAAATCAAGAATTACATCTAGAAAAAACAAGGGGTCTTTGAGTATGAAAATCAAAGGTTATTTGAGATTAATTTCTCATTCACCAATAACTTATTTAAATCATGTTAATTAAAATAAATTTTCAATAATCCCCTCCATGAATAAAAATTATCTCACCAGTTTGAAAACAATTTAAAGATTTGTTGAAAGATAATGATTTGGTAGATTACTACATCATGATAGGTAGCTTTTGACTTTAAACCTTTTTTAGTAAAATACCATCAAATTTACTCAGCTAAATAATAAACGTGGTATCTTGAACTATATAATATTTTATGCAAACCAAGACAATAATACTCACATAATTTTTTATCTAGAGATTTTCTTTTGTTCTCACAATTGTTTTCATTTTGACCCTAAACAACTCTTGGATTCATGAGTGCTTTAGAAAATTCAGTGTTTATCAAAATTCTAAAAAAAATAGCCACATTTCTCACTCTTATAGGTGATCTTTTATTAAGAGTATTATGTTATACTTCACTTAGTGTATCAATATATAAAAATCATTAAGAGCTCAGCTCACTTTTTATCACAATGTATCTAACACTTATTTCATTATAAAAATAAATAGAAAATAATAATTTTTTATGCTACCAAGAATATTATATGACTTAATTCTCCATTTGAACCTAGATTTTGGTATATCCAATCAACCAAGTATAACTACTATTATCTACATTTTTTCATCTTTCAAGGGTTTTAAACCCATTTCCCTTGATAAATTATAAAGGCTATATACAAGATTTTACCTATAACTAAAAGAGAATATGCTAAGGTGTGGCATCGATATAAGTATTCCAACCAAAAAAGCATGACAAAGCTCTTCGTCATGTCCAAATAAGAGAATGAAAGCCCCAAAGCATGCTTTCAGAGACTCAATGAAAAAATAATTAAACCTATCATCACTAAAGCCCTCATTAGTAGAGTTTATAATTACTTTTTATAGGAAAACATGCACAATCTTTATGACATAACTCTTATTACAATAAATAATTAATAGAGAATCATATTCGAATAGAGGAAGTTAACATGAATGAGCACGGTCACCCTCATTTAAAAAAAAGTAAAAGCTACACAATGCCATTCATCTCCCGCTAAAGCATCCAAAAGGAATACTAGAGGGAACATTTATGATCGCCTAACTATGCCTCTCATCATCACATATGATGAGGTACTAACCACCATTAAATAAAAATACTTCATGCAATACCCATTTCTTATAAAAAGTGGTTCAAACATAAAAAAAAAACCCTAACAAGTTCTATCTTTTTCATTATAACTATGAGCATGACACTAAGAAATATTGTACCCTAAAAAAGAGTTAGAAAGATTAATCATTAGAGGATATCTCAAATAATTTATCAAGAAGGAGGGCAACCTGAATAGGAAGGAAAACAAATTTGCACATTCCATATGAGCTACATGAAATCAGATAATCTTTGGATTATTTCTAGAATTGTATATTCATCATTTTAATTTTTTTAATAAATTATTTTTTTTCCATAAAACTCTCTATGATAAAATATTCTTGTCTCTATTAAAATTCTTCAAGTCTTTGTGACCACCTATCTAAAAAACAAAAGAATCAGGGAACCTTTTACAAATATTCTGACCATTTAACTCTAAAAATACCAAATAATCAGTGATCCTTCTTCAAACCTCTTGACCACTTATCTCTAAAATAATCAAAGATTATTCTTCAGTCTCTATGACTACTCATGTGTTCTTAAATGTACACACAAACCATATCATTTACGTTTATCTTTTTGTTATTATTAATAGAAAGCTTTATTTAACAGGCAAGAAAATTAAAACTCACATTTCTCTTATAGAAATAATTATAAAATTACATGAAGAAATCTCATATAGAAATATTAACAAAATCCACAAAATAAAATCATTTATTTCTTGTAAAGGCGAAGGCACAACCATGATAACATTATCATACAAGAATAATAAAAGGGTAATATTTTTATAATAAGTATTTCTCCTTTATTTTTTTAATCAAAGTCTCCCAAACATGTTTTTTTTTAAAAAAAAAGGCTTCGAAGGGAAAATGATGATTCCTAAAATAAATAAATAAAAGGTCATTTAGGTTGCACCTAGACAGCTAGCCCGAACTAGCCCCTCTCTTCTTTTTTCTTTTCTTTCCTTCTAGGCTATCCTTGTCCTAACACACACCTCTATGTACTTTTTATTCTCAAGACTAATAAATTCTTTGTGCAAGCTTACCCAACCACTAGAAACTACCATGATTTGCTTTAAAAATATAGACATACCTTTTATAATAAGTCACATTGTATCACGCATACTAAGGTCGGGGGTTTGATAAGAAGTGGGAGGAGTTTTACTTTAGAAAAGCTAGAAAGGTAAAGGAAGGAAAAATAGAATATAGTAAAAAAACTTGCAAAGGATGATAAAGTTAATAAACTAATAAGTAATGAAGAAGCCACCAAGTTTCTCAAATTAATGAAATATAATGACTTCAACATGGTTCGCCAACTAAAGAAAACCCCATCTTGAATATTGCTAGTCTCTCATCTTAAGTTTGGAACCACACTGAAAGGATCTTTATAAGGTTTTAAATTAAACATATATTTTTTAAGATATCACATTTAATTTTATAAAGCATCTAGTAGGAAGAATCCAGGGTACTAACTACCTGTATTTTTGTGTCATGATGGGCTTTAAGAGGTTATGGAGGTTGAGCGTTTTGAAGTGACATTAACAAAAGATGAGGTTGCTTATCGTGGGAGTGTTGAGAATGATGGTTTTTCCATGAGCATTCTAGGCCCTTTCTACGAGCTGGGGTGATATTGTTGTTGACCCTTACACAGATGCTACAAAGATGTCTTCGAGTTAGAGAAGTTGAGGTAGTGGGGCAAGTCCGTCCACGAGCGTCTCATGCCAATTGAAAAACTAGAGTGATATTGTTCATGACCCTTCATGGATGCTACACACCCGTTCTCTAGCTGAATGAGATGGAGTGCCACTCCAAAACCATCCATGAACGCTCTGAGATCATCCACGACTTGGGTCCATTATTAGTTGTAGTTACATCATATGTCATAATAATTTTGAATAGATAATTAAATGTAATTTAATAAAATTTTATGCCAAGCTAATATTTATGTTTAATTATATTACTTAGGATTGGCTTGTGTTCAACTAAATGTACTACTTAAGTAAATTGTGATTTGAAGTTGGCTAAAAAAATTATATTGTGAATTGTTGTGTATTGTGATTTTTTTGGGCAGGGAGTTATAGATTGAAAAAATTGCCCCTGAAAATATTTCTTCAGCGAGTCGTAGTTGTTATTTGTGACTCATGTTTCACATATATCAATTGTGACATGTGAGTCATAAATAATAATTGGAACTTGTAAAATTATGCTAGATCTCTAAATATTTTTGGAGTTGTGTTGTTTCATTAATTTTTCTTATCATGTTATGGTCATAAAAAAAACTCTAAGAAAACCTCATACAATTATTATATTTTGGTATGTACTTGATGATTAAGAGAATAATAGAAGATAAATATTTCCTTTTTAGCTTTATTGGGATCAATGTAAATCTAAAATCAGTTATTAAATAAAATCCAAGTTCTTATGCATCCCTTTATAGCTTTGGCATGGATGATTGATGAAATGCTTTCCACACATTTCACTTTCATAAAAAGTAAAGGTTGGGTCTTAATAGCATTTTGTTTTTGCTTCTCTCTTTATTTTTATTTTTTTTAAGAATAGGTTCTTGATATCCTTTTGATAACATTCCAATATGCAATTATTTGCTTTCTTAGCGCTATTCTTATATATAGTAGCATTAGCATGCGTGAATAATTCATTAAAGGTGGGCTAATCATTGGCGTATAACAATATTTGATCACTGGCTAGCTAATAGATTTACCTTCTGATTTTTTTAAAAAAAAAAGAAGATTCATATTCTAATCGAAGTTGCTTTAATCATCACTTAATTTCATCAAATGTCTTTGGTTGATTATTGATTAAAACCAAAGCATTTAGTTTTAGTCATGTGCGACCGGCTTTCAACCACGTAATTATTTAACATGAGCAAAAGTCTCCCTATATCTTATTCTTTTATCATTTAGGATGATGAATATTTTATTTCTAATTATTTGTATCTAAAACTTGAT